GAGGGGTCAAGAGGCCGAGAATCCAGGGGCCGAGAGTTCCGAGACCGAGGGGCCGAGAGTTCGGGGACCGAAGAGCCAACGCCTATCGACTGAGGACCGAGACTCATTGATGCAGAACCAAGGTTGACCTACAGGGACAGGGTAAACTGATCTATACTAACTTTTTAAAAAAAATCTACCTAACGTATTAGATGTTGATGAATAGTAAAAACAGTCGAGATCTAAGTAGAATGACAGCGAAATCTTAATAGAAGGACTAAAGTAGAAGTACGACTTGGCTGAGAGTCGAGTCCAAAGAAGAGGTGGCACTTGCAGGGAGGGTGTGTGCGGAAGAGCTGTGATGTACAGGCTAAAATTCCTTAGAAGCTTGAACGCGTGCAGGAAAGCAATGGAAGCGGGTGAGGGATGTCGTTGCAGTGATGCTAGGTTGTAAGCTTGAGGCAGGCAGCGTAGAGAACCATTAGCATGAGGGGGGGGAGAATTGATGTATCCAGATAGTAGGAGCGAAAGCGAAATCTTCGACTTATAGTCGGGGACGCACAAGACTGGAACACCCAGTCGCCGCGGAATGGGGGAGCGCGGCATTGGCGAGATAACGGATAGCATCTACCACATGGAAGGTGTCCGTAAATCAGAGAGAAATAGTCCGCCCACATCCGTCCGTGCCAAATAAAGCAGAATAATATCGCTCCAAAGGGGGAACGGCGAGTGGTGGATACGCTTGAGGGGGACAGCATGTCCGGGTAATAAAGCGGAGACTTTGACAGGATCCACGTAAATCGCTGGTGCAAAGATCATCAAAAAGAAATCACAAGTCGCGCTAGAAAGAGCCGCGAGCTTGCGTTCATCGGTATGAAAGAGGCTGTCGAAGGTGCGCATAGGGTCAACTGCGAAACCCTGGGAAAGACGAGTGGCGGCGGTCCAAACCTCGCCCGGTTGAAGAGGCTCCGCACTCACAGAGCGATAGGCCGCATGCCTCTTGAATGGGCGAGTCTGATGTTCCACAGGTAACTTGAATCGGCGACGAAAGTACGCCGGCTGGACTTGGACAGCGGCGAGGGCATCATAGTGAGAGGTGAACGACGAAAATTCACCGGCCAAGTACTCATTAATGAAGTGTTCGAGTTCATGGACCGAGACTTGCTCAACCCGTAAAGGAAACTTCCGTGTGTTCATAAGAGAACGGATGGCCTTCGGAGCAGGCACAAGGTCGGAGTCCTCAGTAAAACCCGAAACCTGTTTGGTTAAGTCAGTAAATTTGTCCAGTTCAGACGGGTTAATATCCACATCAGGAGACAGAGATGTGTCATAACCATCGTCGTAAAGGACGTCATACATTGTGCGCATGACGGGAATTGAATAAAGTAGTGAATGGGGATCATTTGGACCTTCATACAACCGGCACGGCACAGCACGTGGAGGTTCAAGATACTTGGGCCCGTCCCGTTGAATGATCCCATACTAAGAGTGTTGAACCAGTTTCCACATAGGCTCGTCAGTAGCAACTGATTTCAAGATAAGGAGCCTGTCCTTGGTAGAGCCAGATGGAACAGCTGGTGGTGGTATAGCCCGTACCACTGACATAGCTGGGGACAGGCTCAGGGTAGGCAAGGAAACGGATGGAACAGAGTCCGCAGTGGACGGCAACTCATCCGAAGTAGTGGCGCCGTCGTCGCTACGTAGTGGCGTCAGAGCGAGGTGATGAAGGGCGAACAGGCGGCCGGAGGGAAGGCGAATGAACGCGGTTGAACCGTTGAAGCCGATGTTGAACAAAACATGGCTTTTTTCCATCAAGAAAATGAATTTCCCTAAGTGGGTCGCCATTTGGCTCAAAGAGGGAGGATGGGCAGGCGACAGAATGGAAATAGACTGTCCGTGACCTTGAGTTAAGTTCCCCAAAAACTTGGGTAGGCGTGATCAAGACCGGGCGTGCACCCCGGGCAACAAACCAGTCATACACCGCTAAGTTAGTAACACCAGCGGTAAACGCTGCAGATTCACATAGTAAAGCTTGTCAAAGTTAGAGTACTTGCGGATAGTAACCGTGATTCCACAGATAGTAAGCTGCACTTCGCTAAGGCGGCGGAGAGCCTCGTCTGACGTGCAGACGAACGAGATACCATGCCCAGGGATACGGTTGAAATCCCGAAGATGGGCGCGGGACTGGCGCCAGACAGATGGTTGGCTGTCAGCCGCAAAAGATTCAAGAATCTCGTGAATATTATGCTCGGCGGTTAAACGACTGGCAGGGATCCACATGCGAGTACATAGCTCAGGCTCCACAGGGGTAGGTAGTGGCGCAAGAGCAGCAAAGCGACGGTTCACATCGGATGAGTGGACGTCATTGAACCGCTGAAGACTCGCCCGAAAAAAGGAGTCATCGGGAACAGAACGTGGGGGCGGGGTGGGAGCCGCCCTAGAGCCGTAGCCGCCTGCGAAGGCGTGCTAACGGGAGAAGTACGTATGACTGCCATCCTCAAGTGAGCCGCCGACGAGCAAATAGGGGGAAGTTGCAACTGCAATTCGGATGCAAGAGCACCGAAACAAACTCAAGTCGAAAGTACCTCAATACCAGAACAAAGTAGTCTGTGCAGCCTAGTAGCTTGCTAACAACGTACGGAAGTTAGCTGAAAGAGGATGACAGTAGATACTGCAGAACGGCCTAGCGTTCAACAATGACCACACTACGATGATAGTAGTTCTGATAGTTATAGACAACCCAGTCGATTCCTTTCGGAGAAGACTTAGCGCAAGCTAGTTACCACACAGCAGGGATGAGCTAGCAGCCGAAACTGTAAGCGCCTAACTGACTGCGGGCAGTAGCGTTGTAACGTAGTCCCAGAGACTCCGCAAAAAAGAAACTGGTGGAGGCGACGAGATGGGTGGACGGCAGCGCTCTGCAAAGAGTGCTCCGAAGGCGGCGGTAGTTTTCCGACAGGGGACAAAAACAGGGCAGGGCTCGGGACGATGTGTGCCCGAGGGAGTATATTAAGAAGTTGATCTTAAGGGTCAGGGGCCGAGGGTCCACCGACGAAGAGCCAAGGTCTACCTTTATGTTAAACCGAGGTCTATCAATGATATACCAAGGTATACTTTGGAAGACCGGGGTCCACGTCGATGAACCGCGGTCAATCGAGCTAAACCGCGGTTAACCCCTCTGAATGGCGGCTAACGAGCACGCTTTGACCGCACATTCTTCTCATCCAAAGGTCGTTCCCCGTCCCTTTTTAGCGCCCCGTCTTTCTGTCCCTTACCCAACGGTCGCTTCTTCTTAGCGGGTCCCCTTCTCTTTGACCCGCCGGTCCTCTGACCTACCAGTTCTTGAAACGCTTCACCACACACTGGTATTGTAGTCTTTGTTGACAGATTGACCAAGATGGATCATTTAGCAGCTATTCCGGACTCAAGTGAGAATGAGTGTACAGCTATGGTGCTTATGGATTAAGTATTCGTCAACATGGTCTACCCGTGGTCATTGTCTCGGATAGAGACATCCGATTAATCGAAAATTCCTGACAATCTCTGTCTAAGGCGCTCGGTACCCGATGAGATATGTTCACGGCAATCAGTTCCCAGACCGATGGTCAAGCAGAACGCGCTAAACGCGTTCTTGAAGATATACGTTGCAGCGTCTATGCTGAAACGTCGCGGTGTTGGGAAGTGATGATTCTTCTCGTTGAGTTTGCATTTGATAAAGCTGTGTATGCCGCTACCAAAGCTTGAATTCGTTTTACGTAGACGGCCTCGCCCGTCCTCGTGTCTCAATACACTCCGTGGCATGGTATTTCCTATTCGAATGAATGTAATTAAGCAAATGCGCTTTTATCTCGTGCTGCTTTTACTATCTATAAACCGGTATTCATATTCTTTACTGATAATGGACCATCTGATCGTAAGAAAGGACTAAAAATGGCACTCGATATTCAGTCACGATATGCAAAGTTTGACTACAATCGTTTGTAGTCGGCTATGGACGTGCACGTGTAATAGAACTTGAAGAGATACCGATAAAATTAGGGGGAACATAACATGAGCCATTGACTGAAAGGACCTTGGCAAAACGTTTCGATGAACTACAATGTCCCTTGGAGCTAATGCTGGACATCTTTGAAATGCTACCGCTGACTAAAGTCGTCGTGAAGTAGCAGTTTATACTAGTGTTGCTCGTTAAGTTCAATTGTTAGTGTGCTGCAGCGGGCCTGCAAGCGGCAATCGCCAGAGAAAAACGTTGGCCCTGCTATTCTCTATGGTTTGAAACTATCGAAATACACAAGAATCGGTTGCGAGTTTCAGAGTGACTAAGATAAAGATAACTCGCCTTGTACTTGACTTAGTAATTAGGAAAGACTAACTTAGCGCTACCCGATAAGTTCTTCTTACTTGTTCTCCTCCCACCCATGTATGTGCATGTTTCTTACCCCCTTCATCTGCGGTCTTCACGCGCCCTCAAATATGACTCAGTTCAGAGTGGTAAACTCCTGTGCAATCGGGGGGTTTCTTTCAGCGTGTTGATCTCAGCACCGGGAAGCACCGGTACTTGCGGCTTATACCGTGTTCTCCACATGATGCTGTTGTCATCATTGGTGTTGCCGAGACTTTATCGCAACAGAATTAGATCAACCAAAGACCCAAGAGATATACACTTCAAAAAGGCTTTACTGTTAGCTCGTAAAAATGCAAACAGGTCTTTATTGTTGCTTGCGGCCATCACTAATTGGCCAACATTCAAGCTTAACTATGGGCTAATAATAAATAGAGTTATGTAATATATGTAACGGGTTTTTGCTGTAACGCTACTCCTCCTAGTTGGTGTGTACCTTATGTAGCTCTTTTACACACCATCATCCCGTTTTAGCGTGTTGCTGATACAAGAACATTAAAAAAAATGGTTTCTGGGTTGTTTTGGGTCTGAATCGTATTTAATGTTTTCACGATTCAAAACGAATTAATTATCCGGTATAATATCCATTCAACGTATGATATAATAATCATTAGAAAAGATGTTGTGGGTAGATAAATACCGTCCAACGTCTCTCTCGTCGCTTGATTTTCATCCAGAGGTGACTAAACGTCTGTTAAATTTATCTCAATCATCCGATTTACCTCATTTACTTGTCTATGGACCTTCTGGTGCTGGTAAAAAGACACGGATTATGGCACTCTTACGTGCTCTATATGGAGATGGTGCATCAAAAGTTCGGTTAGAGCATAAATCATTCAAAATGTCAACGCATAGTCACTCCAAAGTGGAAATTACAACAGTTGCAAGTAATTTTCATATTGAGATGAATCCATCGGATGTGGGAACACAAGATCGACTTGTTATTCAAGAAATCTTAAAGGAAATTGCTCAATATCATTTAATGGATACCAATGCTCGCCAACCTTTTAAAGTTGTTTTACTTATGGAAGTTGATCGATTAAGTAAAAACGCACAACATGCTTTACGTCGTACAATGGAAAAATATACAGCAACGTGTCGTCTTGTGTTATGCTGTACTAATCCATCTAAAGTCATTGATCCATTACGAAGTCGTTGTTTAGGTGTACGAGTGGGTGCCCCTACAATTGATCAAGTGTGCAATATTTTGCAAGGAGTTTGTAGAAAAGAAGGAATCGAGTATTGTGATCCTTTAGGGAAACAAATTGCTATCAAAAGTGAACGGAATTTGCGACGTGCATTGCTTATGCTTGAAACCTGTCGCGTCCAAAAGTAAGTATCTCATTTGGCTACATTATTTATTTTGACGTAACGAGTGATTGTGTTTTTTGACTGTCTTTATTGCTTGTGCAGTTATCCGTTCGTAGCCGATCAACAGATTCAGTTGCCGGCATGGGAAGAATACATTTGCAGTCTGGCGAAGGTAGTGCTTCAGGAACAATCGCCTGCTGGGTACGTCGAGTTGTGTCTTTACTCATTGAGCAAAGACTCTTGATCGCAAGAGCTTTTGCCTTATCAGTTGCTGTTGTCTCTCGTAATATGTCTGTAGCCTTTTGAAGGCGCGCGAGATGATCTATGAGCTTATGTCCAATTGCGTGCCGTCCGAGGTGATCCTCAAGGTTCTGTGTTGCGAGCTCATGAGCCGCTTGGACGACGATCTCAAGCACGAGCTGGTGCAATGGGCCTCATACTACGAGCACCGCATGCAGCGTGGCTCCAAGGATATTTATCACTTTGAGGCCTTTTTGGCCAAGTTTATGGCGCTTTACAAGAAGTTCCTGCTGGACTTGTACATGTAGCGAGTAATGAGTCAGCAATAAAACAGCGATCACCACAACGCCCTAGTTTGCTTCCAATATGCACGTAGATCTATCTGATTTGCTATTTACCAGTCATTTTTGCCTTAAGTGAGACTATGTGGCAGGTGGCCGTGTTGACACGATTTGAGGCGCTGCAAGCGTTCCTGTCCAGCAACGAGTGCGAGAACATCAAGTTTGCGCTATTCGACCAGCACACGGCAAACACTCGAGTCAATGCTGAAACTATTCAAGAATCGACTATGGCCATTAGCCACAAGGCATATACATCCATTACTATGGGCGGCAGCGACTCGGTTTCATCTCGAGCGGTAAAATAGAAATCGCACGCTGAAATCGTCTTTGCTAAGTACTAACTGGTTGGGTGACACTTGCTTATCAGGTGGAAGAAGTGGAAGCTTGACGGCGCGATGATTGACAAACTCACATCGGCGGGCAATACTAAAGCGGGCATTACGCTTAATTTTCTGGAAACTAGGTTAGCCAATTTGCGCTTCTTTGCTCGCGGCAAACGTGGCGTCTTGTATGCGGGTGAACTGCGCTTGAACAACACGCCAGTGGTGGTGAAACTTGCGGTTGATGCGACTTTTGTTGCCTCCGTGACAGTGGAGGCACGTTGGCTTCGAGTGGTGAACCGCATGGGAATTGGTGCAAAGTTGATCGATGCTGCCGATGGCTGGTTTCTGTGCGAGCGACTTGAAGGCAAGAACGTGGTGGAGTTTTTAGACCAAAGCAATAAGGTTGTTACGCCAGCCAATGCCGTTTGGGCCGTTCGTGAAATGCTGCATGTCTTTCCATTTGAATGACCTGACGCGTGAGGTGATCAATTAGACCCAAAATTTGCATAAGATCTACTATAGCCAGAGAATCCGACGACAATGACGTATCATGAAAGCAGTCGTCACGGTAAACGACACGGCCTGATATCTTGTCACTACAGTCCAAAGACGCGCATAATGTCACCAAACGTATGGGTGGAAATATTTTGCTTGTAGCGCTTTGTACTTTGCCGTAGCTTTAATATGTTCACGTTCAGATGTTTACTTGCAAGCAATGCAATCATTCGTGGAGAAGTTAAGAACTACAGACGAAAACAAGATCAGTATGATTATTTCTTACAAGAAAAATATTATGGATAATATGCATCATGATGAAGCGTACCTGACAGATTTGTGTGACGTTTTTCGGTTTCTTGGTAGAAGAACACTTTTCAAAGTCAATAAATGTACAATGCCATCTTCCAGGCAACTGCATTGAGCTATGTACGATAATGTGGCGATGCGGGTGTGTCATTTCTTCTTTATTCACCCCCCATGAGGTCCATGGCAAAGCACTGATGGACAGACAAACTTGAATATTCTAGATGTGTATCCAGCCATAATAAACCCATAACTTTACCTGGCACAGCATTTCACGAACGACCCAAACGGCATTGGCTGGCGTAACAACCTTATTGCTTTGGTCTAAAAACTCCACCACGTTCTTGCCTTCAAGTCGCTCGCACAGAAACCAGCCATCGGCAGCATCGATCAACTTTGCACCAATTCCCATGCGGTTCACCACTCGAAGCCAACGTGCCTCCACTGTCACGGAGGCAACAAAAGTCGCATCAACCGCAAGTTTCACCACCACTGGCGTGTTGTTCAAGCGCAGTTCACCCGCATACAAGACGCCACGTTTGCCGCGAGCAAAGAAGCGCAAATTGGCTAACCTAGTTTCCAGAAAATTAAGCGTAATGCCCGCTTTAGTATTGCCCGCCGATGTGAGTTTGTCAATCATCGCGCCGTCAAGCTTCCACTTCTTCCACCTGATAAGCAAGTGTCACCCAACCAGTTAGTACTTAGCAAAGACGATTTCAGCGTGCGATTTCTATTTTACCGCTCGAGATGAAACCGAGTCGCTGCCGCCCATAGTAATGGATGTATATGCCTTGTGGCTAATGGCCATAGTCGATTCTTGAATAGTTTCAGCATTGACTCGAGTGTTTGCCGTGTGCTGGTCGAATAGCGCAAACTTGATGTTCTCGCACTCGTTGCTGGACAGGAACGCTTGCAGCGCCTCAAATCGTGTCAACACGGCCACCTGCCACATAGTCTCACTTAAGGCAAAAATGACTGGTAAATAGCAAATCAGATAGATCTACGTGCATATTGGAAGCAAACTAGGGCGTTGTGGTGATCGCTGTTTTATTGCTGACTCATTACTCGCTACATGTACAAGTCCAGCAGGAACTTCTTGTAAAGCGCCATAAACTTGGCCAAAAAGGCCTCAAAGTGATAAATATCCTTGGAGCCACGCTGCATGCGGTGCTCGTAGTATGAGGCCCATTGCACCAGCTCGTGCTTGAGATCGTCGTCCAAGCGGCTCATGAGCTCGCAACACAGAACCTTGAGGATCACCTCGGACGGCACGCAATTGGACATAAGCTCATAGATCATCTCGCGCGCCTTCAAAAGGCTACAGACATATTACGAGAGACAACAGCAACTGATAAGGCAAAAGCTCTTGCGATCAAGAGTCTTTGCAATGGTAAAGACACAACTCGACGTACCCAGCAGGCGATTGTTCCTGAAGCACTACCTTCGCCAGACTGCAAATGTATTCTTCCCATGCCGGCAACTGAATCTGTTGATCGGCTACGAACGGATAACTGCACAAGCAATAAAGACAGTCAAAAAACACAATCACTCGTTACGTCAAAATAAATAATGTAGCCAAATGAGATACTTACTTTTGGACGCGACAGGTTTCAAGCATAAGCAATGCACGTCGCAAATTCCGTTCACTTTTGATAGCAATTTGTTTCCCTAAAGGATCACAATACTCGATTCCTTCTTTTCTACAAACTCCTTGCAAAATATTGCACACTTGATCAATTGTAGGGGCACCCACTCGTACACCTAAACAACGACTTCGTAATGGATCAATGACTTTAGATGGATTAGTACAGCATAACACAAGACGACACGTTGCTGTATATTTTTCCATTGTACGACGTAAAGCATGTTGTGCGTTTTTACTTAATCGATCAACTTCCATAAGTAAAACAACTTTAAAAGGTTGACGAGCATTGGTATCCATTAAATGATATTGAGCAATTTCCTTTAAGATTTCTTGAATAACAAGTCGATCTTGTGTTCCCACATCCGATGGATTCATCTCAATATGAAAATTACTTGCAACTGTTGTAATTTCCACTTTGGAGTGACTATGCGTTGACATTTTGAATGATTTATGCTCTAACCGAACTTTTGATGCACCATCTCCATATAGAGCACGTAAGAGTGCCATAATCCGTGTCTTTTTACCAGCACCAGAAGGTCCATAGACAAGTAAATGAGGTAAATCGGATGATTGAGATAAATTTAACAGACGTTTAGTCACCTCTGGATGAAAATCAAGCGACGAGAGAGACGTTGGACGGTATTTATCTACCCACAACATCTTTTCTAATGATTATTATATCATACGTTGAATGGATATTATACCGGATAATTAATTCGTTTTGAATCGTGAAAACATTAAATACGATTCAGACCCAAAACAACCCAGAAACCATTTTTTTTAATGTTCTTGTATCAGCAACACGCTAAAACGGGATGATGGTGTGTTGAAAAGAGCTACATAAGGTACACACCAACTAGGAGGAGTAGCGTTACAGCCAAAACCCGTTACATATATTACATAACTCTATTTATTATTAGCCCATAGTTAAGCTTGAATGTTGGCCAATTAGTGATGGCCGCAAGCAACAATAAAGACCTGTTTGCATTTTTACGAGCTAACAGTAAAGCCTTTTTGAAGTGTATATCTCTTGGGTCTTTGGTTGATCTAATTCTGTTGCGATAAAGTCTCGGCAACACCAATGATGACAACAGCATCATGTGGAGAACACGGTATAAGCCGCAAGTACCGGTGCTTCCCGGTGCTGAGATCAACACGCTGAAAGAAACCCCCGATTGCACAGGAGTTTACCACTCTGAACTGAGTCATATTTGAGGGCGCGTGAAGACCGCAGATGAAGGGGGTAAGAAACATGCACATACATGGGTGGGAGGAGAACAAGTAAGAAGAACTTATCGGGTAGCGCTAAGTTAGTCTTTCCTAATTACTAAGTCAAGTACAAGGCGAGTTATCTTTATCTTAGTCACTCTGAAACTCGCAACCGATTCTTGTGTATTTCGATAGTTTCAAACCATAGAGAATAGCAGGGCCAACGTTTTTCTCTGGCGATTGCCGCTTGCAGGCCCGCTGCAGCACACTAACAATTGAACTTAACGAGCAACACTAGTATAAACTGCTACTTCACGACGACTTTAGTCAGCGGTAGCATTTCAAAGATGTCCAGCATTAGCTCCAAGGGACATTGTAGTTCATCGAAACGTTTTGCCAAGGTCCTTTCAGTCAATGGCTCATGTTATGTTCCCCCTAATTTTATCGGTATCTCTTCAAGTTCTATTACACGTGCACGTCCATAGCCGACTACAAACGATTGTAGTCAAACTTTGCATATCGTGACTGAATATCGAGTGCCATTTTTAGTCCTTTCTTACGATCAGATGGTCCATTATCAGTAAAGAATATGAATACCGGTTTATAGATAGTAAAAGCAGCACGAGATAAAAGCGCATTTGCTTAATTACATTCATTCGAATAGGAAATACCATGCCACGGAATTGAGACACGAGGACGGGCGAGGCCGTCTACGTAAAACGAATTCAAGCTTTGGTAGCGGCATACACAGCTTTATCAAATGCAAACTCAACGAGAAGAATCATCACTTCCCAACACCGCGACGTTTCAGCATAGACGCTGCAACGTATATCTTCAAGAACGCGTTTAGCGCGTTCTGCTTGACCATCGGTCTGGGAACTGATTGCCGTGAACATATCTCATCGGGTACCGAGCGCCTTAGACAGAGATTGTCAGGAATTTTCGATTAATCGGATGTCTCTATCCGAGACAATGACCACGGGTAGACCATGTTGACGAATACTTAATCCATAAGCACCATAGCTGTACACTCATTCTCACTTGAGTCCGGAATAGCTGCTAAATGATCCATCTTGGTCAATCTGTCAACAAAGACTACAATACCAGTGTGTGGTGAAGCGTTTCAAGAACTGGTAGGTCAGAGGACCGGCGGGTCAAAGAGAAGGGGACCCGCTAAGAAGAAGCGACCGTTGGGTAAGGGACAGAAAGACGGGGCGCTAAAAAGGGACGGGGAACGACCTTTGGATGAGAAGAATGTGCGGTCAAAGCGTGCTCGTTAGCCGCCATTCAGAGGGGTTAACCGCGGTTTAGCTCGATTGACCGCGGTTCATCGACGTGGACCCCGGTCTTCCAAAGTATACCTTGGTATATCATTGATAGACCTCGGTTTAACATAAAGGTAGACCTTGGCTCTTCGTCGGTGGACCCTCGGCCCCTGACCCTTAAGATCAACTTCTTAATATACTCCCTCGGGCACACATCGTCCCGAGCCCTGCCCTGTTTTTGTCCCCTGTCGGAAAACTACCGCCGCCTTCGGAGCACTCTTTGCAGAGCGCTGCCGTCCACCCATCTCGTCGCCTCCACCAGTTTCTTTTTTGCGGAGTCTCTGGGACTACGTTACAACGCTACTGCCCGCAGTCAGTTAGGCGCTTACAGTTTCGGCTGCTAGCTCATCCCTGCTGTGTGGTAACTAGCTTGCGCTAAGTCTTCTCCGAAAGGAATCGACTGGGTTGTCTATAACTATCAGAACTACTATCATCGTAGTGTGGTCATTGTTGAACGCTAGGCCGTTCTGCAGTATCTACTGTCATCCTCTTTCAGCTAACTTCCACGTTGTTAGCAAGCTACTAGGCTGCACAGACTACTTTGTTCTGGTATTGAGGTACTTTCGACTTGAGTTTGTTTCGGTGCTCTTGCATCCGAATTGCAGTTGCAACTTCCCCCTATTTGCTCGTCGGCGGCTCACTTGAGGATGGCAGTCATACGTACTTCTCCCGTTAGCACGCCTTCGCAGGCGGCTACGGCTCTAGGGCGGCTCCCACCCCGCCCCCACGTTCTGTTCCCGATGACTCCTTTTTTCGGGCGAGTCTTCAGCGGTTCAATGACGTCCACTCATCCGATGTGAACCGTCGCTTTGCCTTGCGCCACTACCTACCCCTGTGGAGCCTGAGCTATGTACTCGCATGTGGATCCCTGCCAGTCGTTTAACCGCCGAGCATAATATTCACGAGATTCTTGAATCTTTTGCGGCTGACAGCCAACCATCTGTCTGGCGCCAGTCCCGCGCCCATCTTCGGGATTTCAACCGTATCCCTGGGCATGGTATCTCGTTCGTCTGCACGTCAGACGAGGCTCTCCGCCGCCTTAGCGAAGTGCAGCTTACTATCTGTGGAATCACGGTTACTATCCGCAAGTACTCTAACTTTGACAAGCTTTACTATGTGAATCTGCAGCGTTTACCGCTGGTGTTACTAACTTAGCGGTGTATGACTGGTTTGTTGCCCGGGGTGCACGCCCGGTCTTGATCACGCCTACCCAAGTTTTTGGGGAACTTAACTCAAGGTCACGGACAGTCTATTTCCATTCTGTCGCCTGCCCATCCTCCCTCTTTGAGCCAAATGGCGACCCACTTAGGGAAATTCATTTTCTTGATGGAAAAAAGCCATGTTTTGTTCAACATCGGCTTCAACGGTTCAACCGCGTTCATTCGCCTTCCCTCCGGCCGCCTGTTCGCCCTTCATCACCTCGCTCTGACGCCACTACGTAGCGACGACGGCGCCACTACTTCGGATGAGTTGCCGTCCACTGCGGACTCTGTTCCATCCGTTTCCTTGCCTACCCTGAGCCTGTCCCCAGCTATGTCAGTGGTACGGGCTATACCACCACCAGCTGTTCCATCTGGCTCTACCAAGGACAGGCTCCTTATCTTGAAATCAGTTGCTACTGACGAGCCTATGTGGAAACTGGTTCAACACTCTTAGTATGGGATCATTCAACGGGACGGGCCCAAGTATCTTGAACCTCCACGTGCTGTGCCGTGCCGGTTGTATGAAGGTCCAAATGATCCCCATTCACTACTTTATTCAATTCCCGTCATG